GACATTTAAAAGATTTTTGTATTAAGGCCAAGAAACCTGAGTTGTCAGGTACTTAATTTGATGGATTACAATGTTCCTATCTGGATATTGAATCCCACAGTCTCCTATTTGATTTTTCATACAACTCAATATATTACAACATTGGAATTTAAAATAACAAGCACCTTCATCACTCTCTCCTTTCAGATGGGCTGCTGCAAAGCCACACATGTGTTCTCCTTGTTCAAAACTGACTGTAGTCACCACATATGCAATTTTCAGTGCAATGGACAGCAGTAAGGGGTGTTTCAGAAATAAATGTTAAACTATCCATCCATCCATTATCTATACACCACTTAATACTCACTAGGGTCGAGGGGGGGCTGGAGTCCAACCCAGCTGACTCAGGGTGAAGGCAAGGGACACCCTGGACAGGTCACCAGTCTATCACAGGGCTACACTTAGAGACAGACAACCAAGCACACTCACATTCACACCTACGGACAATTTAGAATCACCAATTAACCTCAACATGTTTTTTTTTTTGGACTGTGGGAGGAAGCCGGAGAACCTGGAGAGCATGCAAACTCCACACAGAAAGGTCCCAGGTGTCCTCACCGGGACGCAAACCAGCGGCATTCTAGCTACAAGGTGATGGTGCTAACCACTGAGCCACTTTGCTCCCAATGTTAAACTAAACAATCTTTATATTATGAAATACTCATGTTTTGATCATCTATTCATAACCATTTGCCCATACATTAACTTTGTCCCAGCCTAATGTGTGCCTGACATAGAAGAGTTTAATAGGTGCATCACATGTGCGAGCCAAACAGCATGAGCTTTGTTTATGGGGTCAAAGAGGGGCCACATGGAAAGGATCCAGAGCCATATGAGAAGCCGTGTTTAAGAAGCGCTGAAACATAAATCATATAATGTCCTCACACTATGAACATGCCACAAAGATAGCCTCGAAAACAATGAATAAGAAAACTAATTTGATTTACACACACCCTGTGTTCCCACTCAGCAAGCAAACATTATAGCTACCAGGCCTGGATATATCCGCCACGCGCTCACATCATTTAGCCAATCAGATCAGAAGCCCCAGCCAGCCGCCAGCTAATCTCAGATTATTTTGGTGTGAATTTGGTGGCGGCTGCAAGGTCAGCTGGAACTGTGGCCGAGGACGGAGAGAAGAGCGAGGAAAGTGTGGCTAATGATGGAGCTGAAACAACTACTCAATTAGGCATCAACTATTTAATTAAAGACCATTTATTTATCAATAAATCAGTTTAAACAAGTATTTAAGAAAAAAAAGATTCTGATTTTGACCTCTTAATTTAGATAGTTTTTCTCTTTTTTTGCTCTTTCTATGAGAGCAAACTAAATCTCTTTGGGTTGTGGACAAAACAAAACACTGAAGGACGTCGTGTTGGTCTTTAGGAAACACCATGCAACATTTTTTATGCTTTTCTAACATTTTATAGACCAAACAACTAATTGATTAACTGCGAAAACAAACAGAAATTGCAAGTGGCAGCCTAAGTTGATAAAGCAGCAGTTTATTATTATTATGTTATTATTTGGAATTATTTTAGATTTACTACCTGAAACATAAACATAAAGCACAAACAATTCAAATTAATCCATTCATTTTCTTTGGACTTATTCAGAGTCAGATCAGAGGCAGACTAAGACATCCCTCTCCCTCACAATGTTTTCCAGCCAGACCACAAAAACAAGATTTGAAAGAAAGCAGGGGAAATTAAATTTTACTTTCTTACGGTTACGTCTCATTAGAATCAATATTCTGTTTCACTGGTTGGGTATTTGCATACACTTTGTTACATAAAAGAGCACTAAAAATAATGAATTTAAAGTCGGTATTCAGTGTGCATAGCCTATTCAGTTTTGGGGTCTAAAATAGCTTTTAAAGCAGTCACAAAAAGGAACTGCATACCAAGTCACGACATAATTGCAACGCTGAACTACTGCTTGAACTCAGCTATTGAATTATTAGTTATTGCACATTCCAGAGTTTCCCAACGGGCATTTTAAAGTACAGTGTTCTCCGTTTGCACACAAGACTGACCAATGGAAACAAGTTACTTTAATCTTTATCTTACCATAAATGCTGTTGTACTGCATTTCCTGTATGAGATAGCTGAAAGATTCCCGATTGACTCCATACCGTACAATATTCCCTTACTGTGCAGCATACTCATTTTAATCAGCTTGTTTTTTAGGTTCTAAGAGTCAAAGGTTTTTCCATGACAACAATTCCATGATACATTTTAGCTGACTTTGAAAACCTGCTGCCACAGTGAGTTCAGTATGTTCGGTGAGTCACTGCTGCCTGGGAGTCGTTGAACCCACTGCTTTTTACCCTGAAAACCCACTATGACGGATGCAAGGAAACAGATGCAAAAGGCCATCAGGGCAGAGGGGGGGTGCTGATTCTCCCTCTGGGGCATAATTTGTTTTCAGGCTTCACACTCGACGAGGCATCAGCGCAGGAAATAATCAACATCTCAACCCAAGAGCACGCAAATGATCAACCAAGAAATAGAGCATCACCGATGGCCAGTGACATCGTCTGTTTGAATTTCCACTCCAGCGCTCGGAAACTAGCGATTACTCTACACTACACCATCAATAAGGGCATATACTAATAACACACACTGTGCATAGGTGTGTGCGTGTGTGTGTGTGTGTGAGAGAAACTGTATCTTACAGTCTCTTATATAGATCTGTGACAAAACCTAGCATGCACACATATGCGGATGCAAACACACACACACACTCAGGCATACGTGTGTTGGTAGCCCAGCAACAAGCCCTAATTACCCTTTGCAATTGACTAGTGATCAGCGAAACTATTCATAAGGGACACACTGTATGAAACATTCACACAAACACACACGAGTACACGCAGACGCACACGTGAACTACAAACAAAACTACACATGCAACTTCCCACTGCTCCATTACCACACTCAAGGTCGACTAGACACACATGCATACACACACTGTACGCTGACTGCATTTCCATGGAATTAATGTCCTGTAATCTATACTGTGAGCTAGCGTTTCATTATCTGGCTTAAACCAAGTGAATGGTATTGACAAAAAACTAAGCAATCTGTCGTCGACTACAGCGAAATCCCTGCATCCTTTGAGAAAGGACAAAGAGTGGTGGTCAAATACTGTACCGCTGCTCTAAATGTTATGTGCGCATGAAGGTCCTGCCTTGATATAAAACATACTGACATCGGTTTACTGCAGAGAGCCCCAGAGACAGCAGGTGACAGACAGAAAGTAAGAGTGAGAAAGAGAGAGAGAGCGCGTATGGTTCCTGAACTGAATTTGTATTTACTGACATGTAGAATTCTTGGTTTAGAGATAAATTTTTACAAGACGTAATAACAATTTTCCCCTTGGTAACAAGATTCGGATCAGAGAGCTAATCACAACACACAAAAAGCCACACGCAGAAGGTTATCGACTACGTTCTGAAACAGCGCTGCTGCTGACGAGCCTGCATTTGAGAGATAACATACACAAGGTTCGCTCTGTCAGATTCTAACACTGATAAACTTATAAAATCAGCGGTACCATTGCAGCCGGCTTTACAAACCAACATGAGGAATATTTAAATGGGAACCCGGGGTAATGGTGCACCAACACCGTATGCAGACAGTTTTGTGTGATACATAAATTAGGGATGATACAAAGTCAATACTATGGGATACAAAGGTTCTGTAATTATCAAATCCTCAGGAAAATAACAAAACTGCAGCTACAGTGTCTAAACGGCTGGATAAAACTGGCTTTTCAAAAGAGCTGACCCTTTCAGTTGAAGCAAGACGGCTGTCTTTTTGTTTTTCTTTGTTCAGTGTATTGACGAAGCAGCTTGGGATCCCTCAAGGCTACAATCTTACCCGATTTCAATCAACCATGTCTATCGTCAAACACCCTCAGGGCACAGGCTCCTGCTGATATTAATGGACTACAGCAGTCCTCGGAAGTTCCTCTAATAAGCAGTACTTTGCTATATCTTGAAATTTACTGGCAAATCAACAGGATGGCTATAAAGCACTCTATCTGATCTTTGCAAGCCAATATTCAAGCGGCTGCTGATCCTTTAGTGAGATGGCTTCATTTCAGCACCACGGAGAGCGCCGCGGTACTCAGCCGTGGCTGAGGCGAAGTCTTCCCCTCCTGGGCGGCAAACAGCATCTGCCCGTCTGATTCTCCAACCGCAGCAATAACTGAACTCTGAGGAGACTCCCAAACACTCAAGGGCCAAGGGATTGGATATTTCATGCTCAGTTTAAAAAAACATATGAAAATGTATTCTCACACCAGCGATACCCTGAGATAAAGAACAAATCTAGTCTATACATGTAACTCTAAACCTATTTTGTGTGTGGTTATCATGTTTCAGTGGAAAGCACATCAAATACAGCATCAGGTTTGGACAATCCTTTAGAATCCAATCAGGAAAGAAAGACTTTTTTCCCCCTAAACGCACTTGTGAAATTAACAAGGGTCAAATAAATCATTTAAAGGGCCAGGGTATCCATTTCCCTGTTGTTTTTGCATAAATAGTCTACAGTGCAACGCAGTCACAAGGTCTGTACAAGTGGCAAGACTCCTTTTCCACTACAAAGCCTCTTACGCCTCCATTTCTATTTCTATTGCTCGATCCACCTACACATAAAAAAAAAAAAAAACATTGGCTGAAAACAAGTCCCGCCACGTCTCTCAGGGGTTGTTATGGCAAGTCATTCTGGGTAATGTAGGAAACAGTAAGCAGAGGCAGCTTGGAGAAAAGCAGATACAGCAATATACACTACACACTCAACGTAAAACAACTCCTGGTGTGTCCTCAAGATTCCAGGGAGATCCGAGTAGAGTAATGAACACACACAGACACACAAATGCACCTCCAGGAATATCCCTGGGCAGCCACTCATGTGTTAAAGTGCATAAACCAACAGTGCTTTTAATGCTACCTGTCATCATTCTGAAACGTCTGGTCCCCCAGCAGCAAGTCCCTGAAGCGGTAGCGAGGTGGAAGAGGAGGCACCTCTGTGTCCACTTCCGCCATCTTGAGAGCTGAGATGTCCAGAATTACGCCTGAGTTACTGCTGTTGTTTTTCTGCAAGGTCTCAGTGGAGGTCCTGCACGACGAGAAGGACAAGAGAAGCATCTGTTAATCAACGTGTGTGCTTTGGTGGTACAATGGTGACATTTCAGCGTGATTCTTACAAGCTGACAACAAGATACAACAATAAGCAGTATATATATTGGATGTGAGGCATTGGCCGAAAAGTCGATTACTGGGGTGAAGATTTAATGCTCTAGGAAATGTAAGGGCAGTTACGGTTGTATAATAAGTAATCAATACTTGTTTACAGTGAAAGCTCTTATTGTTCAGGGGGAAGGACTATGAATTACGCTGCACGGAAATCCCCACATGCCAATTTATGCATCTGGGACAAAACGGGGGGAAAAAAGGAAGAAAAAGGCTCCATTATCTGTTCCATGAAACTGTAAGTAAACGTGGCATGTATTTACAGAGGATGACATACTACAGCAAGAACAACTGTCAGTGTTTACATAATGACAAGCCTTGCCCCTGCTATTGGAATGGTTCTGCTTAACAGCTTCAACACAGATTTGTGAAAGAAACGCTAAATATGGACCTTATTCTCCGAGTCAAAACCTGTCATGCATAACAGTCTGAACCGGATGATTTGATGTAACCGACCTATTTCACACACACATCATGTATTATTAAACTAAATAAAAACCAACATGTACAATTGCATGCATTATTCAAAAAGAAAAAAAAGGAGTAATTCTTCCATCATTAAAGTGGACACAGTCAGAAATAGGTTATCAACAGAGACAAGTGTGAAAGAGGCAGCCCACGTACTTCAACATAACAATGTGTGTTCGTGGTTGCCAGTGTACAGTGGCGGTTATGCATCCCTGTGTATGTACTGTATATGCATTCCCTTCTTATCACACAGTGTCATAAGAAGTGGAAAATTATGTGCTTTAGGAAATTACCTGTCACCATGGGAACTCGATGATCGGCGTGGAGGGCTCATGACTGCCTCTGGTGGGGGGGCTTTGAGTGACATATGATAAAGACGGAGGAAGAAGAAAGACAGGAAGACAGTTTAAACGCACTTCTTAGAAATCCACCTTTTTAAGACCTAGAGAGAATGTAATATGATTATATTGGCTGCCTGTTTCGCAGCTTAACTCTACTCAGAGTTCGACGAGCTCGCCCAAACTTGCTGCTCTGTAAATGGGAGCGGGATTACTCTGCCAAACTTTAATGCAACGGCACAGATTAATATTAATGTGCTCACTGTCTCACACATCTCCGATTAAAGGTGTTTCATTATTTATGGCGTGTAAGTGGAAAGAAGCAATTCAGACAGATCAATCTGTTAATGAAGACACACGAGTGTACGCTTTAATTTATACAACTATAGCGAGGAGGGAATTAAGCACATTTTCTGAAGCAAACGAGAAAGAGGAAAGCTACTTCAGAAATAAGACACAGGCTTTTCAACCATACCTGCAATGTATGTACAATTTATGAATGCATGCTCTCTTTGGTTGGTGTACGTGCTTCTACTAGACAGACTCCATGCTGAGCTTTCTTTACAGATGTCTTTACATGTCCAGCCACAAGGTTTTATCTGCAGATCCTGTTGAGATTGCTTTGACTTCCTGCTAAATCATCTACAGAGGAAATAATAAGTGGGTAATACAGAGCTGTGTGTTAGTGTGTGTCTGTGTGTGGTCATCATAGTACAGTGTGGGCAGCCTTGAGTGGGCTAATAGCACCCAGAGACATGCTCTCCCTGATTAGCAGTGAAAGTGCAGACCCTCAGAAGTGCAGACAGAGAAAGGAGAGCGAGGAGACAACAAATGAGTGCACTGGAGAGGAGGAAAGAAACAGAAGTCAGGAAATAAAAGGAGGTGAATGCAAAAGATTAAGATGTCCTTAACATGTCCTTTACTGTGGGAGAAAGGAGAAAAGATAACTCTACAGCCAACATGCAGGTAAAATACGCTTTGTCCCCACAAAAACTGCAGTCTGCAGCCTTTGAGAGCCGGCTTAATGGATGAGACAAAGTAACCACAATAACAGGGAACTGAGATGCTCCCGGTTAGAGGCTGTCTCCACTTAATGGGAGAGAATAACATGGGATTCAGACCAAGAAAGCAGATGGAGCGAGGAGAAACATGTGCAGAGAAGCCATAAAATTGGTCCCTAGATAAATACAAGGAACCAGGGTGAGAAGAAGAATGAAACAGCTGACTTACATGGTCTGTAAAAATATGCAGTCCTTCCATATATCACAAAAGGCACATGCAAGGCGTACTGTCCTTGAGACTACAACGCATCAGCAATATGTAGACGCAATAAACTGCATTTTCCCACATGCATCCTTTAGACAAAGGTTAATTTCTGAAAAACAGTTGTCAGACTGACATAAATTAGAAAAAAAAGTTTATGACAACACAAAATCAGGCTACAAACACATATTTACTTAGTGCAATCACATTTAGAGATCCTAAACTCACATAAATAAAATAAAGTTTGCAGCCTGACTTTGTGCTGTCATGACCAAACATGCATTTACTTACTCCAGTCACATTTAGAGAAAAAGTAAAGCGTATGGCTGATCGACCAACACATCTGCAATTAAGTCCCCTGCAAAATATCAGGGTGGGCCAATGCAATACATCACACAGGACCGATTAAAACAGAAAAAATGAGGAGTAGCATTCATTCATACTATCTGCATGGTAGATGTAGGTTTAAGAGAGGATGCGGGGGGTAAATAACAAAGTGCATTAGTCCCAACCCAAAATATGAAAGGAGCAAAGATCTTTCCTATTTAATCATTGTGCATGGAATTTGTGTTGTCTTTTACATAAATAAATACATTCCCACCATATACAGAAGCAGAAAGTGCACAAATTGGTTTTTTTTGGGTTTTTTTTTAAGATCAGAAGGATGCAGGAAACTGATGCTCATCATCTCCTGAGAGAGGATGCCAACACCCCAACTCAACGTGGAAACAGACACAAGAAAAGTAAACCGTTTAACTTCTACAGTTTTATCCCATAAAGAGCAAAAAGCAGCACAAGCACCAGCTTCCTTTGGGGTACACAATATTAAGTAAAACTTAACAATGAGCACAAACAACTTGGGAGTAAAGTGGCAGAACAAACATGCTACACTGCTTCTTGCTAACTTCTTCCTTTACCTGGCTGTGTTCCAGTTTTCTCACCGAGCTCCCGTCACCGTAAACATGGCTTTGGCTTGGACAACCTCCACAAAGTGTCCGTACAGCATCGCCTGTGCGTTGGAGGACGTTTCCCAACAACGAGTCCCCGCCAAAGCGCCGTCATTGTCGGAAAGTGGCAGTTAGCAGAAAGGGGGAGGGAAGTCAACTGGACAGGTCAGGTGGCAAACGGACTTAGCTTAACTGGTCAGTTACTTCAAATAAATGCGCTTTCGGATTTTTAAAAAAAACACAATTTCGAAAAAGCTAGCTTCCTGCTACAACTTAGCTCGCTCCTTTTAAAGCGCTAACGAAATTAAGTCCCGGTACTCAGCGCTGATTGGCTGCCACGCCTTCGAAACCGTTATTAATTCATCGCACACCTTACGGTTGATTTAAATATCAATGCGCGAAACCGGAACCAATAAGAACCTCCCGCGGCCAATAACCGAGAGACTTCACCGTCGCTTAGCAACAACTTTGTTTGCTACGAACTACATCGCTCGGCGGAGGGGAGGGGAGAGGATTGGACGTTATTTTTGATCCCACGCTGTGTTTTTCGACTTGATTTTCCACTTGCCTTCTTCTTTTTAATTAGCCCGCTATCCCGTGGAACCGTTTCCCAGCTGCTGTTACATAACAACCCGCCGTAAGTACCGCTTCTTCTCCCTTACTGTGTGTTCCGCCATCAGATATAAGGGCATCATGTAATCTCCCCTCTGGCTCCACATGCTTCATTCCCCGCCAGCATCAGCATCCTCTCCTCCCCAGGACCAGGAGCAGGGAGGAGGGCGCTGATTTCAGCCAACCTGAAGTCACCTCCTTCCCCCTCTATACCGGTGCCTCGCCATCTACCGGGCAACCGTGAAATAATTCCGTGTCTTGGTGAGGATGCGTCTGAAGCTGACGGGAAACTTCTCATTAAAAGAAAAGGGCTTTTAGTGAAATGAGTGATTCTAACAATAGATACTGTAATTCTATTTTGTCATGGTATTTGCAGAGCCTGTTGTGCAAAGTGCAATTAGATTTGTCTGATTGCAAAGTTGCATGGCAGTGGTTTAATGTAGATAAATGATAAAAAATCAGGGCTGCTTCGTCTGTTTTTTTATGAACAACATCATGGTGTGAAATGCCAGTCCAGTGTATGTACACAGTGTCCTCATCAGTCAGAGTCATCTGGTGGAAAGAGATGGCAAGTGCAACTTTGCTTCTACTTGTGAATGATGCACTGGTGCAGCCTTACAGTTACATATCAGACACGAAAACACATCAGACCAACGCTTCAAATGGCTTCATTTAAAAAACAAAACAAAAAAATGTAATTAGACCACATCAGTCCACAAAATATATATGATATTTATTCATTTTCTCATAACTTCCCAATATCCAACATCAATCATGGAGCACACAGCACATGCAAAGTCTTGGCAACTTCTACTCACAACACATAAACTACATAAATATCGTTGTTTTTCTTTATAAAACATACCTGCAACAGCTCTGTCCTCTGCTATTTGCCTCACAACTGTCCCCCTCAAGTTGAAAAAAATATTCATTCTGTATGCACAGTGGCACGAGTGGGAGACACCGCTGGCTCGTGGTTGTCTCTGGAAAAGCCGTGTTGCTCTGTGTGCGTTCCTTGTGCTCAGCCTCTCCACATTTCAGCCCATTATTCTCCAGGGGAAAGAGCTCTGAGCGTCATCATTTTAAAGCCCACACAGCCAATTATGCTTTCCCATGCCAGCAGTCAGATCTCACTCACTCGCTTATCTCGCCGAGGATCTCGATTCCCACAGATTTCTTTTTTTTTTTTTTTTTTATCCTCAACTTAATCAATCTGATTTTGTTCCCTTCGCAGCCCGTTGCGCGTTTTATGCCCTGCCTGTCGGGTGGATGCTTACACAAGCCCAGTGATGAAATATGATGGAATAGTTTGTTGTTTCTGTGGCTGTGTGTCATTTACAGTATGATAACAGCACAAATATTCACACGAGGCTGATCCAGTCACAAAATATGATTAGCATTTTAAAGACACTGACAGATGAAATTCAGACAGGAGGCAGGTTACTTTTTAAAACATTCAGGGCACTTTTTGCTCCTTCAACTGTCACCTTCGAAAGCCTCATTCATAATCCAGAACTCGTCAACAACGTGAGCATATTTTACATCCAAATCCAGAACTTTCTTTAACCAAATACCTGCATTTTAACCATATCAATCTTCCTTTAGTCCTTTTGGCTCAGACCTGTTACTCCACATGAATACTTAAACAGCACAGTCATGAATTAAATCGTAATATCTACAAATAAAACCCATAAAACACTAGCTCAATTTGTCTTGTCTGACATTGTGATTCTCTAATTCTATGTCCTAATCACATTCAGTGTGTATCTTGAAGTCTGTCGATCCAAAATTGGCTATAAATGCATCCTGAGATCTACTTCCTGCTGATTCATCTCCATTCAATTCGACAGCTTTGTAAGCTAGACTCATAAAAAGACCCATTACTTTAATGGTAACCTGGTAGCCTATAATGTGCTTTAATTTGATGCTTTGCAGTCATTTTGCAATAGCAGTTGTCGGCATTAACTAATGCAGCCGTGTCTCATTTTGGAGTGAACTCTTCAATTATTCAGTCATTACGCTGCCTTGCCTTGAACTATATCACAATGTGTCGTGAAGCCTACATCCATTAGGCTATTTCTCTCCAACACTTCTGTCCTGTTCATATAATACGAACATTGTTGAGTCTCAGCACAGCACAGCCACTCTCCCTCCTGGATGCTTACTCTTCATGCTTCCAAAGTGTCTAAAAACAGATGGAGAGGGAAACGGGCTCAGACAGTGAAGCACTCAGATTCAGTGAGCAGCCTAAAGGCATATATAATATATAAGAGCCTTACATGAGCTCGGTGCATGAATCATAAAAGTGACTGTGTGCATTTGTCTGGCTATAAGCAACAGTCTGTCTTGATTTCAAGTATTTTTGTCCTGTAAGCCTGAAATTCATAACGGAAAGCGAGGAGATAATCTGTAACATTTATTAATGTAATGCCGCATTTAAAATTTAATGTAAAGAAGATAAGGCTTTTCTCTTTATCCTTAATAATCATATCATATGTCTCGCATGACTTTGACAAAAGTTTTTTCCCTTTTGCACCATCATCTGCACCCTGTGTAATTTCACACTAAATACGATTCAGTGTGTGATCCAATTATGCTGTACATAAAATTAATTATATTATGAAATTCACTGTGTTTTGCAAGAAAAAAAAAAGTATTAAGTTTAGATATAAACAATATATTGTATGTTTTGTGCTATTTTATTTAAGGTCTGGTGTTTTCTCTACCTCCTCCATGTCATTACATAAACTACAAACTGTTTCCATTTAATACGTTTCCATTTTGTGGCTCACTGCTGCTAATTGAATGACTCAATAATAATTCCGTTCATAGCTTGTTTCTTCAAGCATAACGTCGTTATGGCTTTTATGCTTCCTGCAATTATAAATATGTCAAAGCTTTGGGCATAATTTGATCGATGTAGGAATTTACCATCAGTGATGTCACTATTATTGCTTCTCGTCTTACCTCCACGTGTTGGTTTCATGGCTGTAGGCTTCTATTGTTTTCAGATTGGTGGTGCCATCAGATCCTCCCACAGCCAGCAACGCTCCGTTGAAGACTACAAGGGACATCTGAGGCATGATACACAAGCGCGAGGTTTAAAAAGCAAATTAGTTTAAAAGAAATACGTATGACATGATGTATTTCCTATTTTTCCAATTCAAAAAGTTAGCTCAAGGGTTCCCGGCACCATCACATGCTTTCAAAACAACATCAATTCAAGAGAATGCTTCTAGGATTTGTAGACTATATAAAAGTTGGATGTAGCTTCTAGGTCTAAAAAGTGAAGCCAGTGCTAAGCGCCTTAAACCTGCATTCTTTCAAACAGCCAGCAGGGGGCGAAATCTACCAGTCTATTTGTGTTATAGTAGATCAGAAGAAACCCGACTTCTCATTTGATTTGCTACCTCGGTGAACATTTTCCTAACAAGTTTATGTCTTCAATCATTAGTGTAATGTGTCCTTCAACGCAGCATGATGCACATTTTGTCCATTATGGTCCCATTAAGAGTGAAATAGACAATAAAGCACAGTATGTCTTAGGGCCATGCTACCTTCACTGTAAACAAATTTTAGTGTAAAATTACGGTAAAGTACTTGTAGCTGTGGTCACCAGTATAATAGTTTACTTAAACTGTTCTATACTGTAAAATTGATGACAGTACTCTGCTGCACAACTTTACTTTTTAATACTGTAACTAGACTTTCAAATAATGCCCTGTATTTATATAGTGCTGCCACTCTAATCAACAGTTACTGTATCATGGCATTTCAAGACATATATTATACATAGCAATGTGTCTTTATTCTTTAGGATTCCGAATTGAGATCTAACAACTCTGTTTAACCTTTAAAATGCACCTTAATATGGCAGCCATCTTAAATGTCGTCATGCACCATGTTTGATGACAATAAAGCATTCTATTCTATTCTATTCTATTCTATTCTATTCTATTCTATTCTAAAATGCATATAAAACACCTAAAACAATGAAGGATGAATGACAAAGTGATATTCTTATGGCTCGGGAACATTTGCTCAAGAGCAGCAATGTATGACAAACTGTAGTCTATTAAGTTTAGAGACCAAAAAGTATTTAACTTAATGTAATAAAGGCAATATGGCCTATTTTATGGCATCAGTGTGAAGTTATCAAAAAGTATTTCTAGCTGCTAAAAATCAAGTTGCAAGTACAAACAGCGAAACAGTCAAAATATCTTCTTTGATTTACACCCTCAGTTTTTATAGTGGCCTGCTGTTAAAGGTTATTTTTGTTTTTAGCTTCCAAAAAGCATCACATTTTACAGTTTTTAATCATATTTCAGAAAAATAGTTGAATTGTGTGTGTTCTTTTTTTACAGTAATGTATATGACAGTGTTGTGACTGACTGGTTGCTACCTTATCGGTGTATAAAGGCTCCTCGAGTTCTCAGTCAGATCATCCCAGAGCTGGGTGATTAAGTGATAGCGATATGAATCAGTGCTAGAAACTAGAAAACGCAAATTTTGGCATGAACAAACCCTGCTCCCCTACTAGCTCATAAATAGCCTATCATATCTTGATAATGGAGTCTGGGTCCTGTGCAGGTTTTCCGAGGCATGCTAGTCTGCCATCGCTTTGGCCTCTTTTCACCTCTGTCTCAGCCTGCAGACCTTCTCGTGTGAAGCCTACAGGTGGTGGGGACCAGCTTTATGGTCAAAAACACTCACATCCTTGTGTCTTTCACAACCACAAGCCTACCTACGCATTTCTGGTGGGCTAATGTACATGTTGGGTTGCATCTGAAGGCCAGTGCAGGGTCCTCGTCCGGTGACACCCGGTGCAGGTCTGCCATTTGGAATCTTAGCTTAAGTAAAGTGTCTTAGCTTCACCCTGGTTGCCCTCTGTGCACCTAGTATTAAGTTTGTTTATTTGTTCAAAGCCCTATTGAGGTCAATTTACCTCAAAGATGATTTTACTTTCTTTCTTAATTCAAATTGTATCAAGCTATCTTGAGCATATCGCTTTATTTGTGTGTGTTTTCCACTGTTGTCCCAACATAACAATTGTTATGGGTGTGCCCTGAAAATTAAAAAAAAAGTGGTGACACTGAAATGAAGGTGATTGAATTCAAGCGATACCCTTCATCTGCTTGTCTTCATTTTAAAAAAATGTCCATTAAAATGATCAATAATTATTGTTATCGACTCCTATGAAACATTTTATCGCAATAAATTATTCATCTATATTACCAGGTCCTAGATCCACCCCCCTGTTATTTATGTCTAGCTTCAAATGCTAGTCCACAAATCAATGAGTGACACCATGGTGACTGCATCCATGTTTTATATACAGCCGATGCTAATACACTGTTTATCCTTGGTTCCAGCTCTGTGGATTTCAATGTTGGTCAGTCAGTCTGCATCTTGGTCCGCTCAACAGCTACTGGATAGAACTACTGCATACTCTATATTTGTGCCACACTGATCTATTACTCACATTGTCCCTCTTGCTCCTCATGCGTTTCACCGGCGTCCACCTCATGGTCTCGGGGTCGAACCTCTCGGCGCCGCAGAGCTCCAGGTTGAGCTCGTCTTTGCCCCCGGCCACGTAGATGTGTCCCAGGTACACAGTGCAGCCGGCGTTCTCCCTGGGACTCAGCATGTGGGCGCATATCGACCAGGTACCGTCTACAGGGTTGTACCGCTCCACTGGGGAGCATTTAAAGGATAGCAGAAGTCACGTAAGGCCATATATACCATTTAACTGACAACCACGCACACAGTGTGAGTAACAGTACCTTACAGACAGCCTGTGTATTTATATACAAAAGTTACATTGGTCTATTACAATTTAAGGTGTGCATAAAAAAGCCTGAAATGTCTGTCAGGAGGCAAGATTCCAATTATATAAATAGATTTCCTATTTATTTTTTAATGAAAATGTAATTTTCTGCCATTTTTTTATGAGTGACGGCCGTGAACTTGATGGGAACCTAAAAAAAGGTTGTGGGAATTTCACTGACGTACACTTCTCACAGACTGAAATAGTCAGTGACAAGTGTTTATCTTTGGTAAGGTCAGGGGGGTAGAGGCTGCGGGTGGGAGTGTGTGTGTGGGAGTGTGTGTCTGTGCATGTGTGTGTGTGGCGAAAGGGGGGGATACACAGAAGTAAAGGTCAAGCAAGTAGCTCGGTGTTAAGTCCTGCCACATGTCAAAAAGCTGTCAAAGAAAGCGGAGACTTGGTCAAACGGCGGTAAAAGCAAATCACTTCACCAAAAGCCTCAGAGCACTACGCTGTTTATTTATAAAGTAGCGTTCCTTATGAACATGTGATCATTTTAGACTTCTTTTTTTAAAGTTCTTTTTAAAGTTCTGCCACTTTCCGCCATTTGCGTCACTCGTAGCAAACCACAGTGGGTCACAGTGACAGAAGGAAAATGTATTAATGACAATTTTGATACTTGAGTGGTAGTTGAAGTCATTTATTAAAGCAAAATGTCAGAAATGTGTTGCTTTTAGCCTCTCAAATGTGCTGGTTTTCTCTATTTTTTATTACAGTCAGTGGAAATAACTTGAGATTTAGGGCTGCCAGTCAAACACATTCAGCTCTCAAAGCTTGTGATGGGCATTTTTCACTGTGGTCTTATTGATTTGTTGGAAATTAATCACTAGATTAATACTGATTGAATCTCTGTACCTCAGGTTGGACGTCAAAGACGGTCCCTCACCTGAATTCAGAACCGTATCTCCATCATTCCCTCCAATCACGTACAAGTAACCGTCCAGCACAGCAGCCACCGCTTTGGTTCTTCTGGTCAGCATCGCCGCCTGCTTGGTCCAGGTGTTCATTTTTGGATCATACCTGACGAACGAAGCAAAGGTGAGCGAGAGTTATTTCACCAATTATCTGTCAATCACTGACTCAGATTTCTTTGTTCTGTCCTCTGCTTCAGATTGCCGTGTCAGGTGATTGATTTTTCATTCTGGGTATATGCAAGACACAGCTTTTATTTTCAGAAGGTTTTCAGAAGCTTTTGAAACTACGAAGAAGTATCATCAAAGCGAAACACAGCTAAGAACAGTAGCAGACGGTGTTAGGAAGGAAACTACAGGTTTGTCCTCTTTGCGGAAACCAAAGAGAAGCTGTCTGATTGAAGGATTAACGAGGTCCATAATGAAAAACGGTGCCTCAGCAAGCAAGGAATGTTCCCACATGGCAATATCTAATAATGTGTTAAAGAAAATCAAATGTTTAAGGAACACTTTACGCATATTTATCATTTCAAGTAATGCTCCTGTTTGAATAAAAGACATTCAGGAGGATGTTTGTTGGATGTTATAATAGAAGAACCAACAAATAAATTAGTCTTAACAAACAACAAAAAAATGTTTTCAAGATGTTCTCGAAGCCTCAGATGACAGATTTTTATTTTTTTCCAATGTTCCTGTTATGTGACAAATATAACAAAGGTGAAACATTTTGTCCTGCAATGTACTGAGGATGCAACTGTTGAGAACTTCTTCTGTTAAAGGTTCCCACAATGTTGTATGGAAACAAAGGAAAGATGTTTTTTTTTATGCAATATACGGAAAATGTTTTTAGAGCATTGCCGGTAAGGAGAATATTCTGGGAACTACAGTAAAACTTTTCCACTTTGCAGAGCTTTCCCAGGTCATTTTTAGAACAAAACAAAACAAAAAAAAATGTAGCAGGGGCCACTAAATACTGGTGACACGTCTCCAACATCGGCCTCATTTGCTTACAGATCACATTAATTGGTATCACGGCTTATTTGGTGTTGAGCTTTGGCAGCACTCGTTCTTTAGTACCTCTCCACTGTATTTATGGCGGTGATGCCGTCGTGTCCTCCAATAGCGTACAGGTATTGATCCATGGCCACCAGACACACTCCGCTGCGGGGGCTGCTCAAGGGTGCTACATCTGTGCTCCAGCTGTCTGTGTCTGGGTTGTACCTGCAGTGTTGGAGTGCCAAAGAGATGGGATGTCAGAGTGTTGGCGGAAGGCAATATCAGCCGCAACTTGAGTGGAACCAACACAGCCGCAAGAAAATCATGTTTCTTCAAGTGTTTTGTCTTGCGATTGTGAACACACACGCATTGAGAGTGAAAGTGTTTCAGTTGTGTGGGCATCTGTGTAAACATCTGCCAGAGCATTTCCTCTGGAAGGCTATTAAAATGTTTTTTTTTTCTCTCTCCATTCAGGGCTGTTAGATGAAAACCCACAAGCCACAAAACAACACTTCCACCTAATTGGCAAAAATTTTGCTTGAGTGCGATGTCACAAATTCCCTACCAGACTACCACAACAGAACCGATTACATGCAATCAGGCAGCTGAGATGAGAGGCCCAGGCCATTAAGGGCAGATCAGTTCATAGCGGGTCTTTGCCCTGTTGGTCTGCAGCCAGCTGGGGATGACCATTATGGGGCAAAGCTGCTGACTGAACGTGGCTGTCTGTGGGAAATGGGAACAGAGCCAGATCTGCTAAAACAGCATGAGAGGCAGCTACAGGAGGATTTATTCTAGACTTCTTATGAGGAACAAATAACATGCTAACATGAGAGGATTTGGCATGGTCATTTGCTCAACAATAAAATGGTTTGTGGTTCTAAATTGAGTTTGTTTTCAAAGATCTGCATCTAATTTATGCCTCAATGCTGACCTCTACTGTACAATGACGCAAACAGCAATAATAAATAAGGAAAGGATTGCAGACATCACAATCACATCAACCCACTCATCTTATGTATTAATGCAGATATCCCCAGAGTACTTTTTTCCCAGTTAGCCTTTTAAAATGAGAAAAGCAGGAGTAAATGTAAGCCAAGAATAAGGAATACACGCATGATATTGATGATTAAGTGTAACGTAACAGACTGGGATTGGAACAAAACTAACTTGTGAATATTTCTTTGTATTCTGGGTTAAATTACAGTCAATTTTCAACTACAGTTTACATTTACATGTAGCTCAGATCAACCACAACAAAAAAAACCCTGACAGTAGTTGTATAACATTGATCATCTCATTCAAACACAATGTTCTGCCGGAGAACTTTGAGTCCTGGCATTCATGTAGATATGCCACTTTGATATGCATCCCTCATCTAAACATAGTTGCAGACCAAGGACGCCCCCGGTTGCTTCCCATAGCAGTGCAATGTGACTCAGCACATTGCAAAAACTGCTCAGAAACAGCTTGAGGAACACAACAAAGAGCCCATGGTGCCTATGAACTCCACAGATCTAATTACGCACGCATCCACGCATTGCGCCAGAACAAGCCTGACCCTATGTCCTGCTGGAAGTATTTCTTATCTACTTGCTTGGCGCCAATTTGACTTGCAACATCGCTTCGTATTTGTGTTGTAACACCTACTGCCTACTGACTGGCAACACTTGTTAAAATCTGCATGTTGCTGTTGCTGTACGCTAAAACACCAAGTCAGATTCCTTGAATGCAAAAACCTCTTTGACTATGAAAACTTAAAAAAAATCTGATTCTTTTCAGATTCGGGCTGCAAGGTGGCTCAGTGGTTAGCACTGTCTAGGGCATCGCAGCTAGAAGGTCCCCGGTTTGCATCCCAGTGAGGACACCCGGGATCTTTCTGCGTGGAGTTAGTCTGTTCTCCCAATGCAGCGTGGGTTCTCTCTGCTTGCTTGTCTGTCTCTAAGTGTAGCCCTGTGATAGACTGGCAACCTGTCCAGGGTGTCCCCTGCCTTCACCCTGAGTCGGCTGGGATAGACTCCAGCACCTCTGCGATCTTAGTGAGGATTAAGCGGTGTATAGATAATGGATGGATGGATGTTTTCGGATTCCACATTGCACCCCCAAAAGTCCTCTGTCCATGCAGGATAGGTACAAGGCGGACTTGCACAATATTAAGCAGGTGGCTTTAATGTTGATCAGTGTCAATTTTTTCCCCTTTATATTCATTCTACAGTGTTCCTTCTGTCTTGAACAAAACACTCCTGTAAATGAGATTTTGAATCTTAATGAATCTTTCTTTGTTGAAAAGAGTTATATAATTATTAGTACAGTGTACAGTAGCTCTTTAGTTTGCACTGTAGCCTTAGGGAGTCTTTTTTTCCTTCCATAGTCTCATGACAAAGCACATTTACTGCCACCTCCCATCCCACTGTCAGCACTCACTGTCACCAAGGCCACGAGCCGCCGACTGGCAGCTCCTTTGACGTCTCTGCGTGGCCCCGGCATTACATTTACATGACTTCATCCGTCACAGATCAGTTCTCTGGAAGACCCTGTCAGAGTCCAGCAGCTCTTACTTATTACTTATGCCGACTGGTGTTTCAACCTTCAGCTGCAACGTGCTTCACTCTCACCTTCTCCTGCTCGTGTGACGCAACGAAACGTCTGCTCGGATCAGCTAGTGCCAGAAAAAAATCAACAGAAGCCAAAATAAACCAATTTCAATTACAGCCTCTCATGAAGTCAGCAGCTATTTGATGTTTTAACCGAAACGTGAAAATCCCACAGAGGAGCATGTGACAAAAACAATCTGTGAGGTGCTTACAGCGAGAAATCCTTAAAGAGCTTAGAGTGATAATACCATGGGGGATTTTTTAAGTTGTATAGTGTGGCATTTGGAGATTAAAATAATTGGCAAATTTGGACCACTGTGCATATTTTCTGTTTTATTTTTTGCAGTGAAGGATGTTTTGGAACTGCACAGTCTCTCACCTCTCCACGCTGCTGTAGCATCGGATGTTGTCTTCACCACCCACGGTGTAGATGAAACCATCCAGGGTGCCCACGGACACGTTGCCTCGCTTATTGACCATGCGAGCAGATGTTCTCCACTCATTATAGTCAGGACAGAACTGTTCTACCAAACAGGACGGGTCATCCCGGGTCCATCCCCCAACTAGCAGCACAAAACAGGGCACAGCGTCATCAGACATGATCATTCCTGTATCTATGGTGAATATATTAGATTATTAGACTAATAGAATAAACTAAATCCCTTCTTTCGCACTTGAAGGATTTTTTGAGAAATAATTTACCCAACACAGAAACAACAAATATGATAATATGGTGTCCCACAAGGGTTAGTGCTGGGACCAAAATTGTCTTTACTGTACAAAATGATTTGTGTAAGATCTCAAGGGAAATTAAATTTGGGGTTTTTGCAGATGATGCCAACATTCTCTGCTCAGACGACAATTTAGAGAGAGATGGCCAAATTAAAACAATGGTTTGACAGGAATAAATCACCATTAAATCTGAAAACATAAACTACATTTATGCAGTTTGTAAAATAAACACTTTAGTCCAGATAAAGAACAATGACTCTAACACTGAAATAGTTTATGTAAATGCATTTCTAGATTCACAACTTAGCTGGACGCCTCATATAAAGTATATAAGAGGAAAGCTGGCAAACATTGTCTCATCATTACGAGGGATATTTTGAAATTTACTGATTAAATGAATTTTAGGACTGTGCAAATAATGTTCAACAGTAAGTTACTCCCTGACAGGATACAACAGCTGCTCATAAGCAACATTTGAAACTGTGAATTAAGAGGAAAATTTTCAAAAGTTATTTGCTGGTGAAGAGTAGATGTTTATCAGTTTGTGGAGTAAACTTATAGAATAGTCTGGAAAATGATCTCAAAGTAGCACAGCTATAAAACGATTTAAGAAAATATACAAGACTGCTTGAACAATATAATAATGTGGAAAAGAAAACGTGTTCTTAGGGTTTCTAAAGAGGTATTTAAGATGAAGTTTCCTGCAAACAGGAAACAGTAAGATATAAGATGGACGGACATGTAGTTTTTAGGTTTTTTTTCCATTTTGTGTTTTTCTTTTCTGTTGCCTTCGTGATACTGTGGTATGTCTGCAATAAATAAAATTAAATACACATAATGTCAATCCAAAAATCAGCAAAAGATATCTCACTTTTTTTTGCATTTACCTACATACAGCAGCAGCAGTAAACAACACTAATGCAGGCATCGATCCAGTTGACTGGTTTTGACTGGTTTCCATAGTGATCCTTGGCAGAAGGAGGTGCGATCCAGTAAAGTGAAATGTTGCCAAGGTAAAACTCAACAAATGAGGATGACTAATTTACAAATACACACAAATTTCAAGGAAGGAGCCTACAAACTGCGTCAATGCCAGTTCGCCAAGAAGTAAGAAAATTCAGTGCCCCCTTGTGCCCCGTCTGAGAGCATTTGCATTTGTTTTTTTCTTAAGAGACGCATTAAATAATGAATGGTCAAAACTGATGCGGCAAGAGACCAAAATATCCGCCTCAAGAATGTCAGATCCTGCAGGTTAATTTCCCAAAATGCACAAAACCCCTTTAGTTTTTATTTCTGTGTCTAGACAACCCTCCTTTTATAATGTCAGGTCTAATTATACTGCCCTCCACGCTCAGCGAGGATTTAGAACATCTGACAACGCACTGGAAAGTTTAAAATCTCTACTTCTGTTGCAGGAACTGACCCACAAACATCATGTCATTGAAGACATCTTTGGGGGGGAGTCGGCCGAGGCGTCTGCGGTCGGAGGGCGGGGTGGGCATGCGGCGGTGGCGGCGGCGCGGTGACCTGTCTTTGCTGTCTTTGATCAGCATGTGGCGGCGCTCTGGTTCCTCCAGGGCCGCCCTACGGCACAGAAATGACAAAGAAGACAAGGAAGAATTGTTAAAACTTTTTCTTAAGGGAACAATTCAGAAAAACTTAGTATTAAAATGATGTACATGATGTAGTTTTTTTTTTGCCAAAACATTGTTGTCCTAGTTCTAGTCATCCACAAGTTTACATAAGTTTACCCCACAAACTGATAAACATCTACTTTACTATAACTTCCTCTGAATTCATAGTTTCCAGTTTTGTTCCTGAACAGTTGTTGTATGTTTTCAGGGAGTAACTCAATCCTGAAATGGACCAAATCAGTAAATTTTTTAAGTATTTGTTTTGGAAAACGATATATTAGTGTGCTCATTATATCCTACATTGTCCTCATTGCTCTTTTTTTGTAATGTTTTTACTGGATATAATGTAGTATTGTGTACATTATCCCACATTTCTGCACAGTAGGTTAAGTTTGGTAAAAACATTATAATGTAAAAAAGGCTTTTGAGCTCAGAATGTGTCTCCTCATTTGCAATATCGAGATCAGTTTTGCTCTCATACACTTTATATGAGGTTTCCAGCTGAGTTTGTGATCCAGAAACACCTTAAATTTGAACAGAGATGATAATTCATAGGATGCAAAACAAGTCTCAAAGTCAACTTCAGGATTAACACTCTTACCCCTGTTCATTGTACACTCCCATGTTTTATCTCCTCAGTACTTTGCTCTGGGTCTGCAGCAGAGATTTGTACTTCTGCCTCTCAGCAGCAGCAGCAGCTCCGTGTCTCTGGCCTCCTGTGCTTTATCAGGGACTCTGTTCCTCGCCGTCTGTCCTTAATCTACCGACTGTCGCAGCTTTCTGCAGTGAAGGACGCTGTAGTTCATCGCTCTAAGGAGCAAGACTTTCTCTCCTTTGCTGAAACCCCCCTGTGAAACTTCCCCTCAGTAATTCATCCCACCCTTCCTTCCTGCACCCTGAAACTCAAAACTCCTCTCACACACCCTCGTCTGATCCTCATCTGTCCTCCCCAAGGAATTGTTGACATGTTTTAGGCTCATATGAGACATTAGTGCCTCATAAGTTCCCGTCATGCAGGAGTTCTTTCTTCTCCCTTGCGACTTTTTTATGGCTGCGAGTTATAATTGCTTCATCTATCCTCTGAAATCTTCTACGTGCGTTATAAAGGGAAAATCACAATGATTTTAAACATGCCACAAAGCCCGATTATTGTCTAATTGCACTACAGTCTCTGTGCTTTTTAGGAAACACCTTGCAGGTCGATTATATCGAAGGTGTTCTGTTTGTGCTGGCAGCAACTTCAGTCCTGCCCATGTCACATTTTCACCACAGGGGTCCACCGATCTGTTACTGTCTGACCCGACCCTGTCAGCTCCCACCTGCAAATCTTCCACCGATTTCATCACTTCTTCTTTCCTTTCCTTGACTACATATGGTCCAGAAAGTCTATATTTATATCCGGCCACTCAGAGGCTATGATGAATCATCACATGTAGGTCAAAGGAAGATGGGTCATAATGTAGATATGGTGTCGTCACTGATGCTCTGTTCCAAGTACACCAGGCTTTCTATAGGGACCGACTGACAAATTAGGTTTCATCTGCATGGCGTCACATGAGTCACATGAGACAGACACACATTTTCAAACCTTATATATACAGCTTCTATAGAGTGTGTCCCTCCAGAGGATTTTAACCCCATATATATATATATATATATATATACATAACCTCATATATATGGAGAGAGAGAGAGACAGAGGGTCATCTAGAAAAGGATTTCTTTAAACACTAAAGCTGTTCTAAAAACTTGGAAGTTATAACTGCATAATTTTTGACTTTCAAGAACTAAAATTCTGAATTACTTCCCAGATTTTGTTTCATCTTTAAACCTTATACACCTTGTTGTTTTTATAATGTAATCCTGGCAAAATGAAGTTTGCTACTGTAATTAACTAATAAGCAAATTTCACTTGTCTGTCCAGATATGAACTCTGTGTATAACTGGTTCTCTCTCTTTTGATGCCTACCATAGTTCTGTACTGTTGCTGAAGTGAATTATGCAGTTTTTCTGACCAAATACAATTTTAAAGAGTGGTATTGTGACTTTTAATGTAGAAAAAGTATTTAAATGCTTCTTCAGTTACTGCTTAAAGCTGTTTCATATCACAGTTAAAACTTGGGATTTATAAGTGGATAGTTTTTTCTTTCAAGAACCAAGTTTTTGACTCATTTCCTGGATTTTGTCACGTTTTAAGGCCCTATTCATGTCGTTTCTAAGACAAGACATATAGCTAGATATCTGATGTCTTGTTTGTTATAGATCAAACCTTCTGCATAATGAGCACTTTCTCTTTTGATAATTGCTTGCTGAAGTAAGATTGCGAATGCAGGATTTTAACTGCACAAATGATTTCAATATTTCCTTAATCACTGGTTAAAGCTCTTTCAAAGTCACAATTAAGACCTGGAATTTATAATTGGATAGTTTTCAACTTTGAAGAAGCAAGTTTTCCTGGAATTTGCCCCCTTTTAAAAAAACAAAACAAAACAAAAGTTATTGATGCTGTTTCTTTAGAGAATTCCTCATAACGTAGCCGTTCTAAAGTCATAATAAGCACTTTGGATTTATAGTTGGATGACAATAAAAAGCATTCTATTCTATTCTATTCTATTCTATTCTATTCTATTCTATTCTATTCTGTTCTATTCTAATTTAACTTTCAAGAACCAAGTTTTGACTTGTTTCCTGGATTTTGACACATTTTTAAGCCTTAATTTACATTATGAGGAGTATTCTCACAATACGATAGATAGATAGAACGATAGATAGAACGATAGATAGATAGATAGATAGATAGATAGATAGATAGA